AAAAAAAAAAAGCACCCTGAAAATGTGTCTTCCTGCGACAGAAAACGAGTGTATATTTCTATACGGAATTGCGAGTGAGGTAAAGGCTTGTTTTTCCCGTCAGCGATAGAGAGTGGACGTGTTTGGAGGAAAGCAGAAAACAGGGCCTGAAAAAGCGGGTTAAATGGAAGGAGAGGCTGGGAAAGAGAGAGGGATGTTGGCAGAGCGTGTGGCGTGATCTGAAAAGCTGAGATCCGTGCAGCAGTGCCAAACACACACACCAGTCGAAGTTCCCTTCGCAGACCGGCTTTTGTTTCCATTTTGGCATTTTACACCGTCTTTATTCTCTGCCCGCTGTTCTATTCTCTGTTTTAACAAATGCAACAATGCAAATAATAACATTACTAATAATAAATAGTTGATCAGGAAGAGGAGGATGATTCATTTGGTGTGGTTATTATTGATAGAATCTCTTTTAAACTACCAGAGAATATTAATATCTCTGGTTAACATGATTTCTGTTTGCTTATATGTTTATGTATCCAGTAATGAGGCATTTCGGTTTTACCTCTGTAAGTTTTATTTGCCTGTTCCATCCAAACGAAAGGCTGTAACGAAAAGCAGAGCTCAGCCAAAGTCAATCCTTCTTCTCCTTCAACATTTCTCCTGTTTTTCCATTTCAGCTGCGCCATTTCTTTCTGACCTATTGTTATCTTCTGAATTCTGCAGTGTTTGACTTTCTCTCCTGGTGACGAGTTTGTGCTACACGAGTGTTTAAATATTAGAGGAAAAGCAACTAAAACAGAATGCTTTTCAAACACACACTTCTCATGCATTTCTCATGCATTTTTTGCTTCAAATTAATTAATAATTATATTTATATCATCTGATATGCTGTGCATTTTTCACACACTGCATATCATAATTCCTAAATTAATTTAAGTAAATATCTTTAGGGAAATTATTATTTCTATATTTCATCTACACATATTAAAGCAAAACAAAACTATATTATATATTAAAATAGTTAGAATTAGCATATTACAAATATACTGCTAAAATATTTTTTAATTGTGTCATTTAAACACTTCTGTATTATAATAAATTCAAAATATAAAATACAGCATCAGAAATGTGCTTCTCAAATGAAAGATATTAATACAATTCCTATAAAATTTTATTTATGAATACACTTATTTAAAAAAACAAATGAAATGTGTTTTGCTAAATTTTGATTTTATGAAATTATGAATATATTTATTGAAAAAAATTTAATTTAATGAAATTTACATCTATATTATAAAATTCAAAATGTTATTTAAAAATATATTTAAAATAAAAACATGTTTAAAAAATTGTGATGATTATTTTTTATAAACATATTTTCCTGCGATCACTGAAGCAGATACTCATACTGCAGATTTGCACTTTCTCATTTTTAAGCAAATGAGCTATAACACACAGGTTCAAAAATATTCTGTCTTATTTTTAAAAACAGCAAAAAAAGGATAAGCTGAATCCAAACGGTCTTATATTTTTCCAGCACCTGTAATTAAACAAACACTCTCACACAAACACAATAAACACAGGAAAACCAGCTTCCTGAGTGTGATCCAAGCAGCACCTTCACCTTCGTCAAAGTACATCCAGCTCCAAATCAAATCAAATGTGAAGGTGACCAAAGCGGCGTGTCAGCGGTCAGTGCGGGACCGGGTGACTGTCTCAAAGCCTGGAGCAGCAGGAATCTGTTAGCGGCCCACAACACCTCGATTACCAGCCAAGAAGGAACGCTGCTGCCCAAAGGCCTGACTGCAAACAATCTTTTATGGCTTTTGTCATTGCATTTCACTTCTGAAGGGACACAAACACTCGGCTAAAGAAAATCATGCAGAAAATACTGACTATAAATGTAAAGTTTGCAACACCCACAACACAAAATCCGTCTTTATTTTTAAACTCAATCGCAACACCTCTCTGATATCTCTAACACCTTTGAAAGCTGTGGAAACAACCCTGAATAGATGATTCGCTGTGAAACAAGCGATTTAATGCTTGACCGCACTTTAAGAGTCTATTGTCGTTCAACTATATACATCCATTTCCACCATTAGTTCCCCTCTTTTCAGCGTCTATCCCTCTCTTTCTCCTTTACAACACAGAGCTGTACAGTCGTCGCCTGACTACAGAACTTGGCACCGCGGCCGGCGTTTTATCGGCTGTCTGAGCTGGACACAGCTCGATTAGAGATGAGAGCAGGCACATGTTTTTATCATGACTGTGCGATAATGGAAGCCGTATGATGTGGCGAGCTCCAGAGATGACTAAACCAGGAGAAAGCATCCATCATTCTGACAAACACAGAAGAAAAATAACAACTTTTTTTCTGGAGCGGCGCGAGACGGCTGATCCAAGGTGCTGGTCAAAAACTCCCATTAATCATCATCATTAATACAGCCGGCGTACGGCAAGAAGACTGAGCGTAATTACGGCATCGTGCTCCTGGGTGTTTTACCGGCGGAGTTTAACGTCATTAATCGCTCCCAGGGGCGATACGACACGCATCTTGTCAATAAACCTCTAATCAACCAGTGAAACAGGACCTGGAGAGTAAATTACACACAAATCGTGCCTCCTGATCTACAGCGCGCAAATATCACAGTGCATGTAGTTGTTCAAATGCTAGAGCCAAAATGTAAACGCTGATTTTCAGAGACAGCAAAAGCAGAAGTGATCTAAACCAGGCCTCGTTTTTGGCAGGCGCTTAAAACTGCATGTCGAAAAATAAATGCAAATGAGAATAATCTTTGCAAAATACAGACTGCGTAAAACAGGGTCTATCAGTGTTTAAGGGAAATTAACAAATGTTGCAGTAATATTCCCTCAATATGGTAAAGCGGATGTGGCCAGAACAATGAGCCATCGGGCCGCTTTAATAGCGTCCGGATTAAGACAGGAGATTCGGCCGGGTCAGCAGGAGATAATCTGAGTCCTGGCATACCGTTAAACAGGAAAAGAACGGCATGGTGAACCGGCTAACTGATGCTGAGTTCTACACGGAGCGAAAGGGAAACTCGGCATGGGCAACAAAATCTCTTTCGAAGCCCCTGCCAACAAACAGAATTATGGCTCTGTGTCACAACAAAGGCGAAAAACCGCCATCAAATGTTGCCTGTTCACATACTCTGAGTGCACAGATAATAGCTAAATAACTGAGCTGCCTGTAAATAACTGCAAATATAATATTGCGCTGTTTGTGAGTGTCTCTTTCGGTGTTTTGCCAAGAACTGCCGCCAATATAGTGATCAGCATATAGTGCATCTGACAAATAAATACTTGCAACTGCAACAAAACCACAATCACCGATCCTGGCATCACCATCAAACAAACAAACAAATAAAAATACTTAATTAAATATTTTAAATAAAATACATATTAAATTAACAAACTATTATTTATAATAGTTTTTTGTTTATATTGTTGTAGTAGTTGAAGAAAGTGTTACTTTAAGTGTTTAGAAATAATATCTGTCATTTATTTATAATAATAATAATAATAATAATCATTTATATATAATTATACATATATTATTCCAGAAAACCTGGAATAAAAACCTTTATTATATTTATTATAGTTTTTTGTTAATGCTGTATAAAACAAAATATTTTTACATTTTATAGACTTACATTCTATTTAGTCTGTATTTATCATAAAGTTCCATGAAAGTTTAGAATTTTAATGGGAATGTTCGGATTTTAATATCTAATTTTGACATTTCTTTCAATGCTGAGCAAAACTTAAAACCAAATAAATAAAATACATAAATTAAGATTTTAAATCGAAAGTAAATGTTCCGTCTATGAGAATGTGATCGTTGTGATTATAGGTGTGTGTTATAGGCAGTAGTGTAACTAACCAACCAGTGTGTGTGTGCGTGTGTGTGTGCGTGTGTGTGTGTGTGTGTGTGTGTGTGTGGGGCCTTCACACAAGCTAGGAGCAGGCCAGCTGTCACTGCCACAATACACAAACTGACATTTACACACACACATACGCACAACTATCAAAGGCATGGTTGCATTATGCTACACACACTACAGCATACATAACCTATAAACCAGTTCACACACACACACAAATTTCACAATTTCACACACATTCCTTTAAGTTTAAGCACAACCATACAAATAATAACAAAGAAATAAACACAACAAAGCCTGTATTTGCATATAGTTGCATTCAAGTACATGTTTGGAATACAGCCCGGAATTGAATCGGCCCGTGCTTCCTGAACCGGGTTACACAGCGGCGTATTTCTGTGTGTGTGTGTGTGTGTGTGCGTGTGTGACTCACCTGGCGTATGGACAAAGTAGGCCAGATACAGGTCCAGCTCTTTCACGGACACTCCGATGTGGTGTGGCTGCACGCAGAGGCTGTGGTTGGAACACTGCGGCGACTTGTGCAGCCTCTCTCCGTCCGTGCTCTCCAGCGGGCTTCCCTTGAACAGGATAACCATCACCAGGTCCAGGCGCCAGACCTTGTCCGCTTGCCGCAGGCAGTCGATGCGGCGGATCTTGCCCTTCTGGTCGGGGTTGGACAGCACGCAGCACGGCGGCTTCTTCCCCGTGATGGTGAGCACGAAGTCCTCGCGGAACTCCGGCCGGATGTCTTTGCGGAGCTTGGCGAGCAGACGGGACGCCCACTTCTGCTTGATCTCGGGCTTCTCGCCCAGGAGTTCGTCTTTGACGGCGCGCTCCTCGTCCTTCGTCATGCGCTTCTCGTGCTTCTTGAAGTACTTGCGCTTGCGGGCCTGGAGGTTGAACCAGGTGTAGGAGAACGCGCGGACATGCGGCAGCAAAGCCTCGATGAAGGGATGAAATTCATCCTGTTGGATAAAAAAAAAAAGGAATTTCAGAGATAATTTCAGAAACTTTCATGGAACTTAAAGATAAATGTTTGAGAGCTTTGGAAAAGAATGCATTGAATGCATTTGAATTACATATCTGCAAATAACAATTTTGCATTATAAATATCTAAAATAGTGTAAATAAAAGAGAATGCATGCTAAATTAGGTCCATTTGAATACATTTTAGGTTTTAAGAATAAATCTCAATCATTTTAGAGAGTTTCATCGAATAAATATATTTGCCAATGAGGTAAACGCAAGGCAAATTTGATTTTCTCTGGAAACAAGTCTTAAAGCATCTTACAGTTCCTCAAGTACGTTTATCTTGTTTTAGGGATATTTTTACTCGAAAACAACAAAAAATACAGATTAAGAAAATAATGTTTAGCAGTGTAGAACTTGGAAAAAATATTAATTATTTTCAATTAAAATAATATAGGCTTACATTTTATAGTCTTACATTCTATTTAATCTGTTATTACATTCCATTAAAGCCATTTGATTGTTATGAATTTTAATGCCAATTTTATTCTTTTAACATCAAATTTTGACATTTATCTCAATGCTGAGCAAACATCAAAATAAATAAATAAAACACATACATTAAGACTGAATAGAATGTAAACTGAAAGCAAATATAAGAATGTGATCAATCATTATTTTCAATTGAAATATTTGTCACAATAGTAGCATGCATAAAGCAAAATCCCCTTAAGTTCAGACACAATTATTCTACAGAAATACAAAGACTTTGTAAATTAAAGTACGTGCAAATGGAAAGCTAAATGAGGCTCTCTTTCAGACAGTTTTTAAACATCTCAGTGGTTGTGCAGGAATTCCGGGATTCTGCAATTCACAGAAAGCAGCTTCTTTAGCTCAAGTCAGGCCAAGAAAAGCTTGGCGATTCCCACGGCAACGGAAGACTCATTCAGCTCTCCAATAATACCTTCACCACACAACGCTCAGTGACAAAGCCTAAACCGCGCCACGGTGCCCCAGTGCCAGGGCCGCCGTGCCCCAGACCCTCTCCGCCAACTCTCGCCACAACAAGACCGCGGTTAAACTGCGTCCCTTCAAGACCTGCCATCAAATCCTCTCTGCGAGCTGCTGTTGTGCAGAAATCCAGGCATGTTCACATTTCGACAATCGAGAAGGCAGATAGCACCGTGAAAAGCACACACTGCAAACAGGAGCAGAAAGAGAGAGAAAGGCCGGTAGTTACCATTTTGCACTCTCATCATAAATTTGGCACGCTGTTCAGGACGGGGGGGGGAATCCACCCGCACCAGTTCTTTGCCACTCACGCCGAAACAACAACAGCTGGCTTGGCAAAGATGAAGAATTGGCGACCGAAAAAAACTTGGGTAAATAGGAAAGAAGACTGGAGACGCTCCAATTGCCGGCAGAAAGAAGTTTTCATGAAATTTCAAGATCAGGAATTTTCTTTTGCGTTTCCAGGTAAAATTGGTTATTTTTTTAAAAAATTGTTCCAAAAAAGAAGAAAAAAATGAAAAACAAAAAATTAAATAAAGGTGTGTATGCAAGAAAAAAAGAAGAAGAAAAAAACAAACAGAAAAGCAGCAGCACTCAAAATAAATGCTTTTGCTTTCCAAATAATAAAAAAAAATCTAAACAATGCAGACAAAAAAAAAAATCCTTGGCAAAGCACAATGAGTGTTTTCTTAGATCTTTGGATCCGGCAAAAAACTCAGCACACACATAACGCAGGCACACGCGCGCACATGCATGCACACTCCTGCGACGAAGTGGGGCGGGTGGGGGGAGCTGGCTAATGCAAAGCACAGAATACAGGCAGGGAAAAAAAGAGAACCGAATCAATGTTGGACGAGCTTGCAGGACCGCTGGCAAACCCAAGTGCTGCTGCTTTTTTTACTCCTTTTCTCTCCAACTCTCTCTCTCTCGATCGCTCGCTCGCTCTCTCTCGTCCTCTCCACGTTATTTCCATAACCATTGCCTGAGTCTTTGCCAACACGAGTAGGGCCCACCTATTTGGCAACAAGATGCCTGTAGCTCAGCCAATACGTTAGCTTGAAGAGCTGAAAGGGAGGGGAAAGAGAGAGAGAGGGGGCTGGTGGCAGAACAAGAGAGAGCGAGTGAGCGAGTGAGCGAGCGAGCGAGAGCACACAGTCCCGTCCGGTGGTGCACAATTTGCCAGTGCTACAAGTTCCGATCCACCACTGAGGCAAAGTTCAGCATCCCAACAAGCTAGTCATGGCAACCGTGTTCTTAAGTCTGGGTCGCGGTCACCATCGCCGCTTGCGTAATTCCACCTTGGCACAGGCCGATGGGAGAGAGCGCACAGCTCTCTCCGAAACTCCCAGCAGACCCTGCAGCCGGCAGCTGCTCATGGATTTAGAGGCCGAGACAAAGAGGAAAGTGACCGCGCACCCCTCGCTCCCCATGTGCATCTCTAATTTAAAACAAACATATGCTGTCTGTCTGAGAAAATGAGGAGCTCAGGCCGAAGGATGGGAGATTGAATATCTGATCTGAAGTTGCTCACAAAACTTCGAAAAGTTGTTCGAAACAATGTTACTGCAAAAAAAAAAAAAAATCAATTATAACAGAAGTTGTGTCAGATTGCTTTTGTCACATTTGGAAGGTTTTCCGACGTTTAATTGCACAAATTATAATATGCATCAGAAATTTGCCAATGAATGCTCTAAAATGCTTTTCAAATGCCATGGTTTTCTTGACTGAATTGACTGTGAGTGTAAACAGTGCTTTTTTTTTTTTTTACATGCAATCGTAATTAACTATCTGAGTTTTGGGAATACTGTAATCTTGCGATCAAAAAGAATATAAAACAACAGCTGCTTACAGCATAAAGTAGAGCAGAGATTACTAGAGATATTCAGATCTGAAACCCTGAGACTAAAGGAGACGTAGACAGAGCTGTTGATCAATTCCGGTTGACATTTTCTACAAAAAAAAAAAAAATCAGTGAATGGCTACTTGGATGCTGTTCTTCCCAAAAAAAAAAAAAAAAAAAAAAAAAATTTTTTTTAATACTGGATTAGCAAACATATGCAAATATCCCTTAAATGAGAGACCAAGAAAACATCATTGGACGGATGTATGGTGATAACGCTCTCCCATCACAGTAAAACTCTTCATTAGTGCTTCCTCTTTCAAATGGGAGCCTATGTGTCAAAACCAACACCTGCCTGAGGTCTCTAATAAGATGCTAATTGAAGCACACAACCAGAGGAGAGCAGAATTTGTTTATGAATGCATTTGTTTCAATAAAAGCAGCACCTTTATTTCAAACAATCCCTTCTCTGTTTGAAACACAGCCCTTAATGGCTTCCTCTAGTGCTACCAGTGCGAGTATATGAGATAATTAGCTTCTGATCAACATGTGCGTTTGGAAATTCACTTGCCTAAAGCACAGTTCACTTATTCTATAGAACGGCGGCGCCAGAGAATAGGCCAAAATAAAGCATTTTACAAATCAAAGGCATATTAGTACTTTTCAAAACAATATTTTAATTTATTTCAAATTTAAACTATTACAAATTATTTAAATAGTATTAATTCAAAAATAAATATTAGTTTACAAAAATAATAATTAAAATACAGATATTTTTAAATATTCAACTGTTAGCTACTTTAAGTAGCCTATAAGATAAACAGATATCCAGTCTACAAAATCTTTACCTACGACTGCGACGCACCCCTGCTTGTTATTCCTGCCAAAAAAAAACTGGACTTTATGGACACACAAACATCTCTATTATTGTCTTCAATTTTGCGAAGCGCCGTGAAATTTGTGAAAACAAAGACTCGGGTCCAAATATTCCGTTTCAAACTGACAGTTGCGGCTATATTAATACGCCAGGTTGCTTGGCAACCGTAAATAGCCTACGGTTATTAGGCTAATGAACTATATTACTTGGCGGAAGAACTGTTCGTTGTTGTTACTATTACTATCAATAAAACTAACTATTTATTGAACACTTGTCCGCTGAATCACATACTGCAGCTGCCGTTTAATAAACGCACGAGGCATGGGCCTGTCATCTATTTCAAGCTTTTCAAACGTATAAAAAGACACTATTTAATTACAAACGTAGCTAATAAGCCAATGGAAGGGATACAAGTTTTTAAAAATGTCATAACGTAGCAAAACATCGCATTTCATCAACATGTATCAGTCCTGTGCCCGTCCTGTCATCAAAACTCCACAAACCACGGCCTGGTTTCTCACCTAAAATCCCAGCACGAGTCCACTGCTCCTCAGAGAGGTCAGGGAAATCCTGAGATACGGTTAACAGTTAGCAAAGCAGCGTTGAACGCATAGCGTTTCGCACAGGTAACATCAGCAGCGCGTTACACCTGCGCGTCACGTCCGCCATTCTGACCACAAACTACGAGGAGCGCAAGATTTCTGCCAGCTCAATTCAAAATAATCGCTATGTTATTTTTTCCCTTTCGCCTGTTCCTACAACATTAATGCTTAAAAGAGAGAAGACATCATCTCTCAAGTGTGTGCCAGCAGTCGGATGGAAATGAGCGAGCTGGAAAGAGTGTTTGGTGTCGGGCGCCAGAGAATCATTTGTGTTAGTTTGTCACTGACGGTAAAAACAATTAATAGTAACAAAAACACACCCAAGCGCCTTCCAATCAATGCAAAAAATAAACAGTTCGGCCAAAGAAAATGACTTGATCATCCAAGCACGAACAATTTTGATAATGTAGGTTGTACTACAAAAACTATGTGGCATAAATTATTGTCATACATTACATAGCCGATGCATTTTCCTGGCATAAAATGTTCAAAATCCATTTTCAAATCACACCGTAAATGACAAGCTGCTAGTCTGGTGAAAAATCTTATTTTGTAAGGCCTATTATTCAAACTTTTTCTTCATCACAACTTTACAGAGATTCGTGCTTCATAACAATAGCAGCCTACATTTTACATTGAACACTTTGGCAAAGTTGCACTATAGTTCTATAAAGCAAAGTGTGATCATTACCTAGTTTTACTGAGCTGGCGCAACAATAAAGAAAAAACATGAAAAAAAAAATCATAAACACTGGAAGCCTAAAACAAAAACACTCGGGTTCAATAACCCACAAAAGAGTCTCAGATCTCCGACTGGCGATTCAAACTAACAGGAGAGCGCGCAGTTGTCTGTGGTAATTGAATATTGATGTTCCCCGGATGTTTTCAGTTAAAACGCTTGAAAGGATTAGGCCTATATATTCGGTTATTTAATATAATGATGTCGATTCCATGCGCATTTACCAGGTTATTTAGAGGGACAGAGAGAATGATAGCTAGTGGATGTAGGCTCCTGCACGAAAGACAAATTCGATTACAGTCCAGCGCTTTAAAAAAATAACTCTTAACAACTGTAGTGATTAGTCTAGCTTAAATAAGATTGTATGATGTTAATAAGAAACAGATTTAAACGAAATGTTAGAAAGCTAATATAATATCCTGTAATATCAATATCCTCGCAGCAAATAAGATCAATTTATGAGATACGCAAAACCGGAGGAATGAAAAACTGTTTTTTTTTTTTTTTTAAAAAAAAAAAAAAAACGAAATAAAACACATCCGTTTAAATATATAATGCATTCACCTGCAACTGATTTGTTGATATTTATAAACCAATAGCCTACAGGGATTTTTTTTTTAATATTGGGTATTAATCAAAGCATGATATTGTTTTATCATAAATAAATATTGTTTTTAGAAACAACTCAGCTAGTGAAAACAAATAGGTTATTGTGAAATATTATTTTCCATTCAGCTTTAAACTCAGAAAAATATCAGAACCATCAATGTCTTATATTTCAGCCTTCGGTACTGGGAAATGAACATGTTTTCTCCTATATTAAATATTTATTCTTAAAAAAAATTAAATAATAACAATAATAATAATAAGTACAATAATAATATTAATAATAATAATAATTATTATTATTATTATTATTAAATAATATCCAAAGCTAAATTAGGAACATTTGTCTGGAACCTGAAACATCATAGATCATGAAAATGTTTTTATCAAATGAAAAAGTGCATTTGAATATTTGGTGGTAACATATTTGTAAGATTTAGCCTATAATTCATTGAAGTTATTGCTAACTTTAAAGCTATTAACTGTTTTAAAGCACATAATTTAATTATTATTTACTGAAAATGTTATTTAATTATTGAGATAAATG